AGTTTTGAGAACTTCGTGTGATTTTTTTTACTCGTTTCATGAGATCAGGTCCGCCTACGAAGTTTCTTCCTTGATCCTCTGTTTCTAATACTTTATTGATGTTAATTTTTGTCATAATTTTTGGTGTTTAGGAAATAAGTATAAACATAACTAGATGGTAATTCAGTAATAGTAAAGTTTTTCGTGATCATATTTTTATTACTGTCAGGTATCTTACGACAGCGTACCCGTGATATTAACCTGAAGAAATACTGTATGTCTTTGTTGGAGAAACAGACTCAGTGAACTTGATCGAGAAGCTCGGGCTGAGGTGAATCAATTATTTTACCATAGTATTCATTGAAGTGTGATTGTTTTAAATTGAAGTATACAACCTAGGTTTCTTACAGGTTGCCCGTTTAGCCGGAAACCCACTACTGGAAAAATGTTTGAATGATCTCAGTAGCTGGAAGGATGATGTAATGATTAAATAATGATTACACTATTTTGTTACACGGGACACTATTAACCAATAATATTTAAAAGGTGTGGAGTACAAAGACTCGCAAGTCTTGAAAATATATTTTTGTTATATTGTTTATCCGATATTTTAAGACATGAATATAAAAGCATTTTTTGTGTTTTTTTTCTATTTCAACAAATTATTTTAATTTCTTCACGCTTTGTTCATGTATAAGGTTACAATTCTTCCTAAATTTCATGTATAAAAAGATCTTTACCAATTTCAAAAATGTAATTTATGAATGTTCTTGTTACAATAATAATCAAAGTGTTATATAGATAAGAATTATATAGATAAGAATTTAATGTAACACAAAAATACATTATTTTTTAAACAATTTAGTCAAACATTTAACTTTTGTTAACAAAGTCCATCATTTTTAAATATGTACTATCATATTAAGATTAGAGATAATGTTACCATTTTATATCATGAGTCTCAATATCCTAAGAAATTAATAAGTGAGTGTCTTATAACTTTAGAATCATAGTGAGTGATCACTTTTAGTCAAAATATATGGATTAGCTCTACGTTTTTCTTTTAATCGTTTATTTTATTTTTACCGTGTATGTGTTTAAATTTTATTCTAAGTTAGTCCTTTCAGTGTGATATGTAATATTTGTTTTTTTATGGTAGAAATTGTTATACATATATGTATTGTGAAATTGTTATGTATGTAATTGTACAATGAAGTTTACTTAGTGATGGTCAACCAAAATCGTATCTGACTAGGATCATAGGATAGAACAATATCCCGAAAAAATTTTTTTAAATCAAATTATAAAAATTTCGTTTAGAATCAGATTTTGGAATTAGTTATATTAAAACGCGTGCTATTTTTTATTTACTGGAGCAAAACTTTTATTAAAATATGAATAATGAAAAAGTTTTCAACAACCATCTGCTTTAATAAGTAACGAACAAATATCTGTGTAAAACGTAACAACATTTATGTTTTTCAAATGGATATCAGTTACAACATGTTTATGAGAAAACATTTGCATTATTTGAAGTCGTTCTGGTTTGAAACAGAAATTGCGACTGATTATAATTTTCTATATGGATCTTAGCTAAAATATAAATTATTGAAAATTTTTATAACAGTTCGAGAAAGATGTTACTCATATTTTGGTAAACATATTTTACTTTGCTAAGTATGTAATGCAGACAACTTGATACACATAATGAAACAGTAACCGATTATCAGAATAGATATTATCTGACATGTAAAAACAATAAAATGAATCAACAAAAATAGTTTGAATAGTAGAGACGGATATTGAAAATCGCTGTCAAAAATATACCTCTAGGTACATTGCATCTTTTTTGGCATTCAAAGTACAAAAGGTTACTAACAATAACATTGTGGCGTGGGTCATACTTGTACAATGATATTTGCTACACACATAAACGTCGGATGCATTGGTAATCATAAATTTTTTTGAAATAGGTATTTATGGTTGCTTTGCTCATTATTGCTGTGAATTGTCATATTTTTCAAGTTAATAAGTTTTCATCATATCAATTTATAAGTAAAATAATATTGTATACACTCAAGTGTATAATTTAGTTATATCTATGTATTAAGCTGTAGTCCATCTCCTGCAAATTCTTATAAGTCTGGTCACGTCCCCTTCACACTGACGCTGACAAGAGAAACGTTTCAATTATTGTATAAAAGACTAGCTTTCCGCCCGCGGCTTCGCACGCGTGTATTTCGGTTATATCGCGTTTTCAAGAGAACCTTTCAAAAGTCTGGGATAAAAACTATCCTATGTTCTTTCTCAAGATCAACTCTATTTTTGTACCAAATTTAATTAAAATCAGTTCAATGGTGTAGGCGTGAAAGCGTAACAGACAGACAGACAGAGTTACTTTCGCATTTATAATCTTAGTAAAATTTTCAAGTAATGTGGCGTTGAATTGTAGTATAATGTACTCGTACCTACTGGGCCAAAATAACACCATTGAACATGAGTCAACTTTGATGCCTTTTAATATATATTATGGTTTGCAAAAAATAATGATTTTAAAAATATAGAAAAGAAAGCTTATTTATAAGACTAAATTAATTTATTACTTTTACTCCATAACAACGACTTGCACGTCAAACGATTTTGAGACGGCCTTGTATGGGGCTTTCCCAAGTGCACTATGAGCAAATCGCGTATGTGCTGTCTCAAAACTACGTATCTCAGTTATTTCAAAACTAAATGATCTATAATTTTAAAGTTTCATGGTTTTATCCTCTAAAATTAAGAAATCCCATACAAACTGTCAACCCTTATTTCACCCCTTCACTGGTCGAAATTTCAAAAACGCTAGATCAAATGTTTAAATATATCCTATCAAGTGCTTAAATATAAAGTTTCATGGTTTTATCTTCTAAAATTAAGAAATCCCATACAAACTGTCAACCTTTATTTCACCCCTTCACTGGTCGAAATTTCAAAAACGCTAGAACAAATGTTTAAATATATCCTATCAAGTGCTTAAATATAAAGTTTCATGGTTTTCTCTTTTAAAATTCAGAAATACCGTACAAACTTTCAACCCCTATTTCAACCTCTTCATCCCCTTTTTCGTAATAAAAGGTAGCCTATATTTTTCTCAGGGTCTAAAAATTGTCTGTGCCAAATTTCATCAAAATCGTTTGAGAGGTTTAAGCGGGAAAGCGTAACAGACAGACAGACAGAGTTACTTTCGCATTTATAATATTAGTTGTGATTGACTCCCCTCCCCGTACCCCAGTGACGCTTACATGGAGCCTACATCGCATGCTGGCTAGCTGAGCGCGGTGAGCGGCAACCACGCGACTTTTTTCTAATACTTGCATATTTAAACTCGTGATATCTTCCGAATGAAATGTCCGAATTGAATAATTCCAAGAGTTATAAAAAGGTACTGAAGCCGTCTTGAATATAAAGTAATTTATTTTGATAAGGATTAATACCAAGTTACAAATAAAGAGCCTTTTCAAGCGGCGGATAATAAATTAAATTTTTAGAATAAAAAACCGCTTACTGTGACATAACTACATATAATATTTAGACATATGCTGTCGCGACACTTTTTGTAGATAATGATGAGTTCTGCAAAGTCGTAGTAAATGATTTGGTTCTATCATCAATAGTTTTCGCAGCGCACGCGACGTAAGGAATTTTTCAGATCATTTTTTTACACCTTGGGTTACATTATTAGAGTTTTAGTAAGGATCTCTAATTTTTATTTAAATATAATATAGCTTATATTACTCGGGAATAATGTAGCTTTCCCAAGGTGAAAGAACTTTTGAAATCGGTTCAGTAGTTTCGGAGCCTATTCATAACAAATAAACAAACAATTCTTTCCTCTTTATTAGTATAGATGATAAGAATTGTTTTATTGGAATATAAACTATATCATCATAGAAATAAGAACATTAATTGAATGAGCAACTTTCTTTTCAAAATAATGCCCTTTGAATTATAAGTGACAAATTGGGTATTTTTTGCTTCACTTACAATTCCGTAGCTTTTAGATTATGAAAATATTAAAATTAATTGCTGGAAATAATTAAAATAAAGCATTCGAAAAGTTATTTATAATTAAATTGTTTGTACTTTGCTAATACATACATTCATTCTTAATTAATATAGTTGTCTTTACCTATATTTTATTATCTTCTAGCAAGGCGCCCCGGCTTCGCACGCGTTTAATGCTTATATTTAATACACTAAACAAAAACTGTGAACATTGTATATAAACATAGCGACCCGCTCCGGTTTCGCACGGGCAAAAGATCTACATTATATACTGTAAAGAGCCATATAGATCTATATTGAATTAACAGTGTATTTAACTACTTTTTGAATAAAGATTGACGCTGTAAATTAATAAATAAATAAATAAAATAAAATAAACCTTCCTATTCAATTACCCTATCTAGTTAAAAAAATCGCATTAAAATATTTCGTGTAGTTTTACATATTTAAGCATACATAGGGATTTTGGAACATGAAAGCGACTTTGTTTTATACTATGTAGTGATATTAAATTATATATATGTACCTTCCTCTTTAAATACACAATCTTTTAAAAAGCCACATCAAACTCCTTTGCGTAGTTTAAAAGATTTAACCATACAAGGGAATATAGAAACAGAGAAAGCGATTTTGTTCCATACTATGTATGTATGTGGAGATATTAAATGATTTCTCTTCGGTTTCTATCAAATTTTATCCAATCTCATAATCGCAGTTCTTATTCAGCAGTATGAATCTTGAATTTAGTTAATATTTATTTATAATAGACAGACACACTTACTGAGTAATGTAAGGCCTCGGCCTCGAATTTTGCGGGCAGCGGAGCGGCGGCGGCGGCGGCACGGAAACGCATACTGTTCTCCAAACTAGCGGGCAGCGGGCACCGCTGTATTCGAGGGTCGGTCCATTTGATTATACGCGTAAGATCCTGCCGCTCCCGCTGCCGCTCCCGCTGCCGCTCCCGCCCGCTCCCGCTGCCGCTCCCGCTGCCGCTCCCTCCCGCTGCCGCTCCCGCTGCCCCGCTCCCGCTGCCGCTCCCGCTGCCGCTCCCGCTGCCGCTCCCGCTGCCGCTCCCGCTGCCGCTCCCGCTGCCGCTCCCGCTGCCGCTCCCGCTGCCGCTCCCGCTGCCGCTCCCTCCCGCTGCCCGCTCCCGCTGCCGCTCCCGCTGCCGCTCCCGCTGCCGCTCCCGCTGCCGCTCCCGCTGCCGCTCTGCCGCTCCCGCTGCCGCTCCCGCTGCCGCTCCCGCTGCCGCTCCCGCTGCCGCTCCCGCTGCCGCTCCCGCTGCCGCCGCCCCGCTGCCGCTCCCGCTGCCGCTGCCGCTGCCCGCTGCCGCTCCCGCTGCCGCTCCCGCTGCCGCTCCCGCTGCCGCTCCCGCTGCCGCTCCCGCTGCCGCTCCCGCTGCCGCTCCCGCTGCCGCTCCCGCTGCCGCTCCCGCTGCCGCTCCCGCTGCCGCTCCCGCTGCCGCTCCCTCTGCCGCTCCCGCTGCCGCTCCCGCTGCCACTCCCGCTGCCGCTCCGCTGCCCGCAAAATTCGAGGCCGAGGCCTAATTAATATATCTGCTATCTACTTCCTCGAGTTAAAATGAAGCCATGTGTGGAAACAATATCACTATTAAATTACAACTGTGTTATGTCATTTATTGAAATTTTAAAAGTCATACATATTTCATTGGATATTTCAATCCATCTAAGTGAAATATATAAAATAGAAATAGTAAGTAAAAAGACTATACAAATAATTTTGTTATATTATTTATACGTATAAAAGGAAGTATTTCATTTTGTTATCAATATTAACTTAAAAGATCACTTTTTAGTTATACACAGATTGATGAAGATCCTTCTCTCTTTTAACAGTTTAGAAGACTCCAAATATCTCTGAATGTTTTAAGTGATACTCATAAAATGCCAATAACAATTTATAAACCGTCCCTTGATACCACATGTCCCCTATGAGTGAGTCTCTTACCACAACCTCTGTCAGATTAAAGACTAACCTTTCAGAACCGTAGTATCGTATTTCTAAAAGGTTAAATAGGCAGTTGATCAAAATCTTGTGAAAAATAGTCTTAGTTAGTCAATATTAAGATTACATTTACGATAGTAAATAAAATTCAATAGTGTAGTTGTACTTTAATGTAGGCCGGTTTTTAAAATCTTTTGTAAATCTAAGGTATAATCATTATATTAAGGTCCGATCAAGGTTTAACTGATTGAAAGTTCAGTACGTTAAGTGCTCTTTTTATACTTTTCAGCATCGTTGTCTGAAATAACGTTTTAAAACTGTATTATTTTCTTAGTGGATATTATTTCAACAGTCATTTCTAAGCTGTTTTCTTATAAACATTTGTATCACGGTACACATGAGATCTGAGGTCTGATTGACTCTATCGCTTGGCCTGCTCGGCTTGTGGACGGATTTTATTTCTTTATTTCATACGTAATAGCTTGCGGCATGTTTGTTTTTATTCACTAAAGGAAGCAAGATTAGAAGACTGTAGCATTTTTATCTTATTTATAATGCAGCTGTGATTTCTAAGTAGGAACTTATAATGTTACCATGAGAATATATTTTCGTGTACTTCACAAATTAACACGAATTAATTATAATCTATACATAATATATTTCATTAAGCTTTTAATTAAGTTTCCCCAAATGTTACGTACTATAATTGATTAGCCAACAGCTCCTAAATATAGGAAGCGCAATGACAATAACATTCTCTGACGTTCACCAGCTTTTAATGTTTTACTTGTACATATTAAAGAAGAACTTACAAAAAAACTGAGATTACATTAAATACTTATCATATTCATTTCTAAGCTTGTTTTTTAGATATTTTTTTAATATAAATATTATAATTTAATAAAAAGAACTCAAAAATACTCATACAAGACCATCTATATCACACATGTTACAGATGCAATATAACGTCGTTATTATACTCTGACAGTATATATTGAACTTTCAAATTAAAAAGGGTCATTGAAAAACTTTAGAACAAAAAATAAATACGAGTTAAATTAATGCTCTCTAATATATATTTAATTCGTATAGTGTAATAAACACTACATTTACAGAACCCGCCTCCAGCCTCCCCTCGGCCCCTTCAGTCTCTCTTACCCGAACCTCTGTCACAACTCAGGCGAGAACTCAGTTATATGGTTTGATTACAGTAAAATAATTGAAGATGGTGCTATGTAACATGAAATATAAATATCAATCAGCATTATTATTAGCGCGTCGGGTATATTTTTTAATCTCTAAGATGATTTGGCCTCACAGTAGCACTTATTAATTATGATCTAAAATATAAGAACTTAAAAAAAAAGTATATATTTATCATTAAAACATATCATTATCAAGATCCACTGCTAATGAATACTTGTGGAAATTGAAATAGATTTTCATATTAAAGACGTCGTTTGTTTCACTCTAAATTTCGCCGAATTGCCAAAAATAAACGTTTTTATTTTGTCTGCTTCAATAAATTACTACCACGCGCTCCTATGTAAACAAAAAAGAGTTATTTTATACTGTTTGATAAATTAACTTAACTTAATAATGTATAAGTAGTTGCTGTAAAATTTTAATTTAATTGTTAATATTTAAATTATTCTATTTATACTCTTTACGTTTTATTGTAGAGGAAACATAATATCTGACAATTATTTTTGGTATAGTTATATATCGTGTTTTTAAATCATGTTACCGAAATCTCTCCATAAATTAATGCACTAGTGGCCTTTTACAACAAAAAAATATTTTGGAATTTGAGGAGCGGGGAACTTATCGAATAAACATTTCTTCGAGCTGGATATTTTTTAAACACATACTATACTAACATTTATATGTAATTATACCATACCAAGGAGTTTAAATGTAATCCAATTAGTTAATTATTTAAAAAGGGAAAGCCCTTTTCCCACCCCTTCCTGCCTTTTCCTTTCCCTCTTTTCCCTCCCCCTCTCACCTTTTACTCCCCATTTTCCCCTAACAAGGGCGGCAACATATCTGCATATCTACGTTGCAGATGTCAATGGGCGACGGTAACTACATACTTACCATCAAGTAGGCCGTCTGCTCGGTTGCCCCCTTTTCAAATAAAAAAAAAGTTTACCAATAATTGATAACATGTTATGGTAATGTTTTTCTTTTAAAAACAAAGGAATGAGATAGTGGGAAACCTAGGATGAAAAGTAGCAAAAGAAGAGCTATCTGATGCGATTAAAAATGAAATTATTTAATGAAACATGTATTCAGCTTAATTTTAATTAAAACAAAATAGACAAAATTTTGTTTCTTGGTTTGAAATTGATTAATTGATTAAAACTGTATTTGGCTTATTCCAGGAAAAGAGCTTAAGCCTTTATGAAATACAAAATCCGTTTCAGATTCATTTTATCTGTAAGATTTAACTTCACTTGCAGATAAAAGTGTACTCTTTGTAAAGAGGTCTGTCGCTATACAATAGATTAACTAGTATCAAGTGATATTATTTAAGAAATTACAATAAAAAACAACAAATAAAATATTAAATATTTTATTTGGTATGTAATTTAAAATTATGAAACAATTGTGTATTTGCACAAACGTATTATTTTGCGATGCAACTTCTCAGCATTCTATAAATTCACCGTGAAGGTTGCGGTTACATAACGTTATAGGCAGAGGAGCTTCAACAGTTACTGAGATTTACGATGCAGGTGTAAGTTAAAGGGGCCAGTATAGACTAACCGCTTCGCTTAGGATTTCCAGAACCCTACCGTGATGAAACTAGTATTGATCGCTATCCAGGAGTACCTTACAATCCGGCCTAACCTAGCCGTTCCAATTTCAAAAAAAAAATTTTTTTTCGTCTTATCTACTACATAATACGTGTTCCCTTTCCTATATAGTATACAGTAACTGTGATCACGGACAGCTCAGATGTAAGTCAACATTCATCTCGTCAGTATAAGGAGATCTCAGTTTACATAAAACTTAGTTTCATTTAAATGTGCACTAGTGAAAATCTTAGATATCATAAGGAAGTTTTGTAGTTTTTCAAACTGGATATTCGAGGATAACGGACGTAGTTCGAAAGCCGATTCCAAAGATGACAATACTTTTTACTTCGCTTAAATAGTATGGATTTTAATATGAATTGTTTCTCATAATTTTCAAATTAAGTTTAATCGTTTGCAGAAAATAACAAGAATTAAAGATAACTTGATTTTTCGTCCATTCTGCCATAATTACTTACTTAAAACTCCAAAATGTCAGAAAGCCTATCAAGACATAATTCATCGCTAAGTTAATGTTATAAACGTTTTAAAGGAACTGCTTTTTTGAACAAATCTTATCTAATTAACTCTGAAATCAATACAACGAACACAAAATGGTCGAAGATTTTGTTACGATAGATAAAATTCTATTATATTGTTTCGTCTATACTAAAATACTTTCTTGATTTTAACACTAAAATATTAAAGATATCTTCTAAAACTTTCATTTTATCGAAGAATTCCTTTTATTAAGGTATTTTCCCAGTTTGAACAGATTAAGAAGTTCTACAGCATATTTTACCTAACAAACTATTTTATTACATCAAAAGATTCGTACATTACATCAAAAAAGTTATTAAAGGTTTTTGAATACAGACAATTTTTTACATAAAGAAAAATATGAACTGCAGAACGCTTTTAAGAATCGTCTTTGTAGCTAAGCAAGTATGACAAGTATTTCACACTGTATGTGAAAAATACTATACATTGTGTTGGGTAGGGTGGCATGGGGTTAGAATTAAAATAAGATACGTACACATTTTTTATAAAGTTACTACTGCTGTTGTTTTGTTTATAAACTGGTATTACTACCAGTTTATAAACAAAACAACTTCTTTGTAGTCTACTTATGTAATACTTCGGATGAGAAAATGTTCAAATCACTTCGGAAAGTTCATAAAGATTTCAGAAAATTCTCGTAACTTAACTTTTATGTTCAATTATTTCTCCTGGCTGCTACAACCTGTTATGTTTGTGAAGAATGAATATTTAAATAAATTTTATGAAAAAAGAGCTGAAAATTATACGATTATGCGGTGGAACGTTGTCCTGGAACTTGTCTCTAGAAGAATTATATTCTTCCACATTCAAAAACTGATATTAATGTTTTAACTTCACTGTCAAAAAAGGAAGGTTATGTTGTGAGTAGTTATAACTATTTTTTTGAACGCCTGGATGGCTAACTTTACTTTAAAGTAAGTGGTATCCATCGATCCATCTTTGTGAAGAGAGTAACAATGAGTATATCAAAATTAAAATAAACAAAAGTAAGAATATTTGTCGGAAAAAATTACAATTTTCATATTACTGGTTGCTATTAATACAGATCATGATATTGTTATTCCAATTAAAATTTAATTTAATTATATAAAGAAATAAGATTTCATTTTCTTTTACTTGCCATTGCAATTCATTACTAAAGAAGAAAGATCTAAACCAAACCATTAAACTTATATCTTAAATATACATACATATTTGTTGAAAGACTTTTAAAACTCTGC